AATGAAAAATAGGGATTCACTGGCCAGAAAAAGCCACTTCAATCAGCTGTGTGGTGTAGACCAGACTAAACTTAGTGGCGGCCAATTCATCAGCCTTGCAAGCTGTTGAATAGTTTAATCCCAGCACAAGTTGCTATGTTTAACGTAGCTGTTCGCGATCATCGCTCCCGCGATGGGCATGTCTGAGTCTGAGTCATCAATTCATACAGGTTGTGAGTTAGTAGTGACCCATCCACTAGTCCACTACTGGAGTACCCCAGGTGCGAATTTCATACCCCGGCCCCGCTATTCCCGTACTGGAATACCCGGAGTGTGAGCTACACTTCGGCTATTCCGGAACTGGAATACCCCGAGCGTGAGCTACACATCCACAAATCTGGTACTGAAGTGCCCCAAGTGTGAGTTACATACCCCGGACCCGCTAATCCGGTACTGGAATACCCGGAGTGTGAGCTACACATCGGCTATTCCGGAACTGGAATACCCCGAGCGTGAGCTACACATCCACAAATCTGGTACTGAAGTGCCCCAAGTGTGAGTTACATACCCCGGACCCGCTAATCCGGTACTGGAATACCCGGAGTGTGAGCTACACATCGGCTATTCCGGAACTGGAATACCCCGAGCGTGAGCTACACATCCACAAATCTGGTACTGAAGTGCCCCAAGTGTGAGTTACATACCCCGGACGCGCTAATCCGGTAATGGAATACCCTGGGTGCAAGTTACCGTATTTCCCAGACTATAAGACGCACCTTTTTACACTAAACTTCAAGGGAAAAGAAGGGGATGCGACTTACAATCGAGAGTGACATCCTATTTATATGCATGTATTGAAACAATGTGGTTCAAACCTCAAAGTGGGGGTGCCACTTATAATCGAGTGCGACTTATAATCGGGGAAATACGGTACACACCCGAACGTCCGGTTCTGAAATGCCGCGAATGCAAGTTACACACCTGGAAATTTCGGTTCCGGGATACTGGATTCCTTGGAATAAGCACCTCGGGTTGTCTGGCTTTTCCAGGAGCTAGGCTTATTTTCTGGGAGGGCTTTAACCCACTGACCTCCACCCAGGTTGATGGCTGACTTGAAATCGGTCGTTTTCACAAGGTTAACTCTGGTTTCCTTTGTTCAAATTTGACGTTGCTGAACCTTTTGGAAAGCTGTTGTCTGCAGATATGCGACAGTAGCATGACCACCAGCAGACGAGTGGCAGAGAACCATGAGCTCACCCCAATGCTGCATCTTCGTAAACAGAATCGTTTCGCCAATTTTGACCAAAAACTCTCCTGTTGTCGTCGTTGTTATTATCGTCGTCGTCGCTGTTGTTGTTGTTGTTGTTGTTGTTGTTGTTGTTGTTGTTGTTGTTGTTGTTGTTGTTGTTGTTGTCGTTTCAAATCTTTATTCTCACGTTGTTCTTGTTCTTGTTGTCGTCCTCGTCGTTGTCGTTAACTGTCACTTGCAGGCCTATTTAGCTTTCTTCATGAACATCTACTCATCAGGTTTAAGCTTATCCGTGTCACCTGGATCTCTAATCACCGCCCTACTACTGCGCCAGTCCATACAGAGGTTTGGCAAGCTAAGGCAACAGCGACGTAACTACCGGACAGTGCTCACCAGTCTGAGTGAACGGTAAGGGCTTGTTGACAAGTGCCTTCTGCTGTGACTCTGTGTGTGTGTGTTGGGGGGGGGGGGGGGGGTGTAAATGCGTGTGGATATGCGTATGGACAAACGTTTGTGTGTGTTCGTGCGCAGGTGCAAACCTGTCGAAGGCTGCCTTCTTGTGCCAGAGCATTTGGAACGGTTGCATAGCTCGGACAATACACCTGATCTCATTTCCTCTTGTTTTCTTGTCTCTCACGCGCCCACACTCATTCTCATCGTTGTCTCTGGTTCGTTCTCCCACCTTGTGTGCAGGTGTCGAGTGGCGACTGCCGAAGAATTGCGTGAGCTGCAGGACAATTGCGCGATATGCTGGGAGGAGTTCAGTGCTGAAACAGCCGGCGTACAGAAGCTACCCTGCGGCCATTATTTTCATACGTGAGTTTTAAACTGTCACAGTAAACCTGTGACTAACGACCACCCCTTGGGGCCAGAGAAAGCGGTCTTTATGTAGTGGCAGGTGGTCATTGGTTAGAGGTTTGCACCGCACAACCATATATGAATGTGAGACCGTCCGAGCCTGGCGAAGTGGTCTGTAGTACCAGGCTGGTCACTAGTCACAGTGGTCTGTAGTACCAGGCTGGTCACTAGTCACGGTGGTCTGTAGTACCAGGCTGGTCACTAGTCACGGTGGTCTGTAGTACCAGGCTGGTCGCTAGTCACGGTGGTCGGTAGTACCAGGCAGGTCGCTAGTCACAGTGGTCTGTAGTACCAGGCAGGTCGCTAGTTACGGTGGTCTGTAGTATCAGGCAGGTCGCTAGTCGCGGTGGTCTGTAGTACCAGGCAGGTCGCTAGTCACGGTGGTCTGTAGTATCAGGCAGGTCGCTAGTCACGGTGGTCTTTAGTACCAGGCTGGTCGCTAGTCACGGTGGTCTAGTACCAGGCTGGTCGCTAGTCACGGTGGTGTGTAGTATCAGGCAGGTCGCTAGTCACGATGGTCGGTAGTACCAGGCAGGTCGCTAGTCACAGTGGTCTGTAGTACCAGGCAGGTCGCTAGTCACGGTGGTCTGTAGTATCAGGCAGGTCGCTAGTCAAGGTGGTCTGTAGTACCAGGCTGGTCGCTAGTCACGGTGGTCTGTAGTACCAGGCTGGTCGCTAGTCACGGTGGTCTGTAGTACCAGGCTGGTCGCTAGTTACGGTGGTCTGTAGTACCAGGCTGGTCACTAGTCACGGTGGTCTGTAGTACCAGGCTGGTCGCTAGTCACGGTGGTCTGTAGTACCAGGCTGGTCGCTAGTCACAGTGGTCTGTAGTACCAGGCTGGTCACTAGTCACGGTGGTCTGTAGTACCAGGCTGGTCACTAGTCACAGTGGTCTGTAGTACCAGGCTGGTCGCTAGTCACGGTGGTCTGTAGTACCAGGCTGGTCGCTAGTCACAGTGGTCTGTAGTACCAGGCTGGTCACTAGTCACGGTGGTCTGTAGTACCAGGCTGGTCGCTAGTCACGGTGGTCTGTAGTACCAGGCTGGTCGCTAGTCACAGTGGTCTGTAGTACCAGGCTGGTCACTAGTCACAGTGGTCTGTAGTAGCAGGCTGGTCGCTAGTCACGGTGGTCTGTAGTACCAGGCTGGTCGCTAGTCACGGTGGTCTGTAGTAGCAGGCTGGTCACTAGTCACAGTGGTCTGTAGTACCAGGCTGGTCGCTAGTCACGGTGGTCTGTAGTACCAGGCTGGTCGCTAGTCACAGTGGTCTGTAGTACCAGGCTGGTCGCTAGTCACGGTGGTCTGTAGTACCAGGCTGGTCACTAGTCACGGTGGTCTGTAGTACCAGGCTGGTCGCTAGTCACGGTGGTCTTCAGTTAAAGGTTTTACTGTAGTTGTAAACAGCTACATGTTGATATTGAAGACTCCGATCACGCTCATGGGAAGGGGGGGGGGGGGGGGGTGCATTTAACATATTTATGCCTTATGCTTACTTCCTTAGTGACAACCCAATTATCTCAGCTCCATATTAATACGTATCTGTTATGGATTGAGAAGGGAGTCAGTAATGAATGGGTGAAGCGAACATTAGACACCATTAGCAAACAGTCACGCTTACGATCGAACGATTGGACAGCTCCGATTTCCAATCGTCAAAGCATGCACGGCACGAAGCCGTGCGTTGAACCATTCATGCACGTGATGCGGGAGATGCGTGATGCGTAATGCAACCGGAATCGTAGTCGTTTCGTGATCACCCGTTGGGGCTGCTCCAATCGTGCTCGCGAAACGATTAGAGTTTCCCGCGTGCCGGCCTCGTTCCCAGTTTGTCCCAATTGTCGCGCCCGACGGTTTCCTTCTGGTCTCTAGTGACTATACGACCTACACTTGCACACAATGACGGACTTCAATATCGGTACTGTAGAACGGGTAATTTTAGCGACGTAAAAACCCTAGCGAATTTAGCGAGCGACTCATTTTCGCTAAAGTTTCAAGTCACTAATCCATTGACACATAGTAGTGCACTGGTGATCCGTGAGTAAAATCGCTGCAAATCGCTAAAATAAAACGTCGCTGACCGGTTGACAATGGGAAACGCTAAAATTAATAGTCGCTAAAATTACCCGTTCTACAGTATCAGATAGGCGAGGTTGCAGTGTCTGCTCTAGGATTTCAAACCAGCCGGGTAAGTACATGATTCTGTACCTGGCACAACCATTGCAACCGGGTCAGAGCCGGGTCCGTTTCAGTGCGGCTACTGCCTGTAACGTTACATCAGCCTATGACTAGGCCTCCGCGGAATATGCTCGTATTTTTACCGATAATTCCTTTGAGCATTGCTCAAAATTACGTCCGATAATTCCCGTAATTCCACCAATAATTCTCACAATAATGCTTTTTTTCTTCCCTTTTTTGCAGATACCGTACCACTTAAGGGTTTTTTTGCCACTTGTACGGGCAAAAAAATCACGGTTCGCGTGAAACTCGGCTGGAAGCTTTTTTTCTTTCTCTTTTGAAATACCGGGCGATCAACTCATTCAGGATCACAAGCTTTTTGGTACAAATCAAGGTGTTAAAATGGAAAAAAAATTGAATAAAGGGGGGCATTGCTCAAATTTTACCGATTATTCCACAAAAATTGCCAATAATTCCCGTTTTAAAAATCACACCGATAATTCCCGAAATTATGCCGGCATATTCCGCGGAGGCCTACCTATGACCAGGGAGGTGGAAATGTTTTATGGCTCCCTGATGTATATTGTATTCCCAATCGGGTCACAGGTGACCCGGTCTTCTTTTTCCAAGCGGGTCCAAGTACCCAATCTGGTCGCTGACCCAGCTCTGGAGCAGACACTAGGTTGCACTGTCGGAATTATTGATAACAATGCCTGTAATTTTCGTTGTAGTCATAGGCTAGACCATGTAAACATAGATTAATGATGACATCGGCTGTAGTTTGGCAGTCAGCACATCATGTCCAACATCACACGCTCTACGTGTGTTTATGTGTGGATGTGGGTGTGTGGGTGGGTGTGGGTGGGTGTGTGGGTGTGGGTGTGTGTGGGTGGGTGTGTGGTGTGTGTGGGTGTGTGGGTGTGTGGTGTGTGTGGGTGTGTGTGTGTGTGTGGGTGTGTGTTGGTGTGTGTGGGTGTGGGTGTGTGGTGTGTGTGGGTGTGTGGTGTGTGTGGGTGTGTGGGTGTGTGGTGTGTGTGGGTGGGTGTGGGTGGGTGTGGGTGCACGTATTGCTTGTCTTGTGTGTTCGTCTCCAGTGCATGTCTGATCTCATGGATGGAGCACGACATCACCTGCCCGACTTGCCGCACCTCACTGCTGGACAACCAACCGGGCTCACAGCGGGCCATTGGGCAGAACCGGCCCGGGCCGGGTGCACAGCAACCGCCCAACCGACCCTTGTTTGATGTGGTCCGCCATCGCCCGCTAGTGACGGCAGCAGCAGAAGAGCCAGCAGCAGCCGGTGCTGGTGATGGTCGGCAGGCTACTCAGCAAGCGGAGCAAGACGATGCAGGCGATAATATCATTGCCGCTGCTGCTGATGTCATTCCAACTGAGGAGGATGTCATGGCTGCTGATTTCAATTACATTAGAAACAATGGTGTGGAGGTTGGCCGGGATGATGCCGCTGCCGAGGACACCATCGATGGTGGTGGTGATGTCACTGCTGCTCATGCTGCTGCCAGTGCTGGTGCTGGTCATCAGAACATGCCGCAGCAGCAGCAGCATGACCCTGCCGGTACAGGGGCACACACTGCTGTGCCAGCTCCGCCAGCACCACCTCAGAACCAGCGACGGTGAGTATGGCTTGGAAAAGAGGTTTGGGTGGACACACCCATTCAAGTCTCACTGCTAATCTGAACCAATTCCATTATTGTGAAAAAGGAGAAGGACAAAATGTTACGAGTTATGACTATCTGTCCTGTATGAGATTTGGTTACGTTGATAGACAGTTAGTCATAACTCGTAACATTTTGTCCTCCTTTTCACCATAATTATTTTAATTGGCTCACCATCCGAATTCCATTATTAAACAATGTTTCGGCACATGGCCATCATCAGGTAACTGAACAATTGGGTGTGTCCACCCAAACCTCTTCTATTATGAAGCTGCAGTAAGCCTCAAGACTTCTTTTGAGTATGGTTTGGTTTGTCTAATTGGCTGACTGACTGGCTGACTTCTGGGCTTTGACGGTGCGGAGTGTGTTGTGATGTGCACCGCATCGCGTCTTGCTACATGTGCCCCAATGTGTGTGTGTGTGTGTGTGTGTGTCTGTGTGTGTGTGTGTGTGTACACATGTGTGTGTACACGTGTGTGTGTGTATGCGTGCGTGCGTGTATTGGGGATGTATGCCTCTATAGAGAGGTTAAGATGCACGTTCTTTCCGACGTGACGCTCAATTTCACGTCAAATTTGGCGTAAAACTCCAAATTTCGACGTGAGCAGCAGGTCACTCGCGTTGATTTTTCGACGTGCGAGCCAAATAACGCGAGCTGAACTTTCGCGTCACGTCAGAAATAACGTGCATCTTAACCTCTCTAATGTGTGCGTCTCTCCCCTCCCCCCCCCCCCCCCCCCCCCCCCCCCCCCCAATCACTTATCCCTGATAACGTACAATGGACCTTATGCCGTTTGTACAGATCCAGGAAATCCCGTAGACCCGGTAGGGTGTTGAATGTGCAGGACCCTATTGTGTTTTCTGCTATTTCCACTAAGAAATGGGCCCTGAAGGCATTTCATACGAAATCCTTTTTCTGACAAAGGTCTAGCTAGTCATTAGTTCTAACCAAAGTGAAGAAGCTGGAAAAGCGATTGCTGGTCATTGATTGAATTATGACGCTAAAAAGGTCAAATGCGCATGCATAGCACACAATGAACACCCTACCGGGTCTACGGGATTTCGTGGATCTGTACAAATGGCATAAGGTCGATATCAAAAAATACTAGCACTCACGTACTAGATTCCTATAGCCATCCTCCTGATCATCTAGCTGTCGTTTGTGTGTGTGCTTATGCGTGTGCTTATGTGTGTGTGTGCTTATGTGTGTGTGTGTGTGTGTGTGTGTGTGTGTGTGTGTGTGTGTGTGTGTGTGTGTGTACATGTCTATGTGTGTGTGTGTGTGTGTGTGTGTGTGTGTACGTGTCTGTGTGTGTGTGTGTGTGTGTGTGTGTGTACGTGCCTGTGTGTGTGTGTGTGTGTACGTGTCTGTGTGCGTGTGTGTGTGTGTGCTGTTTGATGCTGTGTTCTTTTTCTTATGCCGTTTCCATCATCTCTGGACAGTGGACGGACTTTTATTTTAGAAGGTAACGCCTGGAATACTTTTGAATTTTTTGCAAACACACACACACACACACACACACACACATTATTGAGGGTGTGCGGCTCTGTCGCATTTGAGACCAAGAAAGCGAAAGTAATCGTCTGTGTAATTGTTTCTTTATATAAGGGCACGTTTGGTTGAAACGATCTAGAACAGGATCGAACGGCTGGTGCGCATGGAGCAGCCACACGCCAACCAAACAGTATTCCGGAAACAGAGTGCAATAATGTGAAAAGTGCTCCAAACTTGGGTGCGTTCGTCCAACATGTTGTCTTAGTCACCATAATCTCTCTGTACGGTACAACGAGTGCATGCCAAGTGCGACCCCAAAGCGTATGCACGTGATCGTCTTGGCCAAAACTTGATGCTCCTGCCAGGTTTCGCTGTAAAAAATGAACAATTTTCTTCAGACCTTTTCCCCCTTTCAACCCCTTAAACTTATGAATGTATTTATGCGCTTTACAGTACTAAAGGACATAGCAACACGATTGAACTAATATATGTGGCACTCAGTAGTCCATCAGTTCTCTATATGTGTTCACTCCTCTATATGTCATCACCTGTTTACTTCATGCCTATATGGCTCCACTACGACTTTCTCTACTGTAAAAGCCATGATTCTAACGAGGCGCATGTATAACGATTTTCCAAAATTGACTAGTTTACGTGTACCAAAGGTAACGATTCTCACTCATTCTCAACCCTCAATAGGACATTATATGTATCGATTTCTGTATAACGATTTCTATTTTAACGATAGATTTCTCCTCGTTAAAGGGGAAGTATACCCTAAAATCAAATTTTCACCAGTTGTAGTCTTCGGGGTGCTGAGTCGAATGGTCTTGGTCCGAGGAAGCTGAGACGCTCCCTTCCTCCTTTATTCCCAATCGAACTCGCGCACTTCCACCGAAACTGGGTGACTGCGCCCTACTAGATGGGGATTTGTATGCAAAATGTCACTAAAAGCGCCATTTCGTTCTTATTAAAGCACGGATGACCGCCATTGGCCCATATGTTGTAGTCTTTTGGACGCTGAGTCGACTGGTTTTGGTCCGAAAAGGCTGCGATGCAGCGTTCCTCCTTTATTCCCAATCGAACATGGTTGAACAAGCGGTCACGTGCTCCTGCGTACACCAGTCAGCTGGTCACCGTGCCTGCAGGGTACAACTTACTAGCCTGTTTGACCTTTTTTGGGTGCAGTCCTGTCACTCGAGTTGAACTCGAGTTGAACCTTGGTGTGAAAGTTGTCGCCTGCTGGCGCGGTGACCAGGTGATTTGGGCACCCAGGAGCACGTGACCGCTTGTTCAACCATGTTCGATTGGGAATAAAGGAGGAACGCTGCATCGCAGCCTTTTCGGACCAAAACCAGTCGACTCAGCGTCCAAAAGACTACAACATTATGGGCCAATCGCGGTCATCCGTGCTTTTATAAGAATGACATAGCACTTTTAGTGAGATTTTGCATACAAATCCCCATCTAGTAGGGCGCAGTCACCCAGTTTCGGTGGAAGTGCGCGGGTTCGATTGGGAAAAAAGAAGGAAGGGAGCGTCGCAGCTTCCTCGGACCAAGACCATTCGACTCAGCACGCAGAAGACTACAACTGGTGAAAATTTGATTTCAGGGTATACTTCCTCTTTAACTCGTTAGAGTTAGCACTTCGTTATATTTATATGGCTTTTACAGTATATAACTCCAGGTCATTCTCGATATAACTCCAGACGCGACTTTCCCTATATATCTCCACTCAGGTTGAGACTTTCTCTGTATGACTCCAAATTTTGGCACCATACAGCGAAGTTGCGTACGGAAAAAGCCATATAGAGACAGTGACGACAAACGGAGAATTGATGCCATACTGAGTGTAACATTATAGAAAAACAAAGTAAGAGATATGACACCTAGAACTACAGCGCTGAAAATCTCTGAAATAAAATACAAGTGTGAATTGTAACGGGAAAGGCGAGAGCAAACACCAATGCGTGTGCTAACAATTAACTTGCAAATCAAATGGGACAAATTGCTTGTATTAGTTTGACGCACTCTGAACTGTAACATGGAAAAAAGTGTGGGCACAAGTTATGCGATCGAGTCCACCAACTAAACCAGATTTTGAACAGCCGATCGCATAACTTGTGCCCACATATTTCCATGTTAAATTTTCTTTTCGTTGGCTCACCGTCTGAGAGATTCTTAATGCACACTCTGAACTCTGGTTCATTTTGTTGTCGTACCTCCGTTACAGGCGCACTGTCGTTGCGTTTCCTGCCGCGTATCAACATTGGTCTAATCTGCACCTTGAACGGCGACCCCAGTCAGCGTATCATTGTTCAGACCGACGCTGACGCCGCAGCAGCAGCACCACGTCCGCCAGGAGCAGGAGGGAACGTAAACCCTGCGGCGGCTGCTGGTGCGGAGCATGTGCACCGGCGGCGTCGTCATCAGCATCGCCACCATCATCACAATCATCCTCATCAGCCATTGGCGCCGACTGGCACAGCAGGCCACCAGCACCACCATCGCCATCCTCATCCCCATCACCACCATGGTCAACCTAGAGCTGAAGCCAGTGCTGCTACCGC